TCAGCAGCCACAGTGGTTGGTGATCCTGAACATAGCAGGGGGGTTGAAAGTAGATGATCATTGTGGTCCTTTTCAACCTAGGGCACTCTATGATTCTATGATTTTATGATTATTCTTTTCACTTACAGATAAAAGTATGGATAGAAAAAAATAAATTGAAATCTAAAAGCTAAACATACAAATTTGAATATACTCTAACTCATTAGAGGCCACGAATTCCCAGAAAAATGATCTCAATTTCACTTTAGTCTTTCTTTCCAGATCAAATCTTCCAGTGACTAATTTTACTTAATAATTAAAAAACTAGGACCAGAAGAGATTAAGCAGACTACCCTATAAACTTGTACATCAAGATTAAGAGTCTTGATTCTCATACTCACTCTGTTTACAAAAAAATAAGAACACAGCATGCTATGCAGCATCATATTAACTCAGTATAAATAGTAAAAACTATTTACAAAAACATAAGAGGCTTTGCTCTCCTTTGTATCTCTTCAAAACACTGCAGTGTTATAAAAAGATTTGCTTTCCACTATCAGTAGCTTTTCTCTAATATTTAAATTTATGCTCCACTGATAAGGATACATAGCTTGCCATTTTGTGAATGCTACCACCTGTGTGAGATTTCAAAATGGGCTTAATACAAGGGAAGCCATTAACATTTGTGTTTCAGGCAGCATTCAATCTACTTGATGGCTTGTTACATTGATCTACAAGTTCATAAAATGAATCAGGGTGTCAACATAATTATACATAAAATAGGTAAAAGGGTCTTCAGTTTTTACTTTACCTAGTAATAGGTAAAATAGGGTCTTTAGTAAAAGACCCTGTAAAGCTATTCTCAGTGTAAAATTAGATAGGACCAACAGATAATAAAACTTGTCCCAATCACGAAAAATATATGGGGATCACAGTCCCCGATACTGCCAATGAGGATCAGTTAATATTTTAATCTGTTTTTAACTTGTCTGAAGTTTTTATTTTGTTTCTTTAAACGATATATTGGAAGACATGCTTATTTTCCAAGCAGCCAGTATAAAATGAAACATTTGCACTTTTCAGAAGAAAACACTGCATCTTTCTCAAAGACAATCATTATCATCATGTCTTCCAGCAAAATATCCAATAGACGTTTCTTTTTGCAGAACGTTCCCGATGCTGTAGTTGCTTTGCTTGCTATTGATTAGTGACAGTCAAGGATATTAAAACCTGAGGCTCAAACACCAGTGCTTAGAGCTACTCAGTGCATTTATTTTATTCAGCTTCTAATTCAGGTGCAGATCAAAGTAAAAAGAAAGAGTATAAATAAGCAACTGTTCAAACTCAAAAACTGCAGAAACAGAAGCTTTCCATAAAACCACAGAAAATGCATGTTAATAGAAACCCACTTTGCAGGAAAGGGCGTAACAATTAACTATCTGCACATACATTTTAAAATATAGATGTCTGCAGATTGTTTTATACTTCATTTGCATGTATGCCTGAGAGATCAATCAATACATCAAGGACTCCTTTCTTAAAGCTTTCCGCAAGTACTTGAAAAGTCAAAGCTGTTAAGAAAAAAGGCTGTTTACCTTATGACATCTGTAGCATTTCTGTTTAATACGCTCATTGGTATGCACATAAAATGCAGAAATGCTGCCACACAGATGCACTTTTGACAAGTGTCAGTTTACAGGCACTAACAGGAGGATCAGAGCGCATGAAGGACACAGAACAATTACGTCTCACCCCTTTGAAAAACAGAATCACTTTCAACTCAGAAACCTTTCTGCCTAACTCTACTTGAATACTGAAGCCAACTCTACCAACATATTAGTTTGCATAATTCCAAGAATAAACAGATAGTCCACATTGTCAATACCTCTCCTTTTGACTCAAATTGGCAAGTCATGCTATATATATGGAAATAAAGGAAAAAATATTGCTCATTCTATTATAGTTAGAGTTATTGAACTATATTATACATATTCAGTTGCATTAGTTTGCTTACTTTTGCCTTACAATAAATAATTCCAATACCTTTGATTATTATAGGTCTCATAGTTGTTCATGAACAATTTTTCAGCTCCGGCTTCCTTCCTATGACATTTTATCTTAAGACCATGAAGTCTGAATTATTCTTAGAAGATGCATACGCTGATCACTGACCATATCAAGTAAAACAGTTCTCATTCTTTTACTCCATTAATTTCAATGATCTGCCCTTACAGTCACCGCCATTCAACTACCTCCACATGGCAACTAATAATTTTCTTTATAAAACCTGATCCGTGTCGAATAAATGCTGTTGAGAAGTAGCATGGCCAATGATGAGGATAATGGGCTGAGAGAAAACAACTAAGAAGCAAATTTCAGCTATCCCAGTCACAGTTTTGCTACATAAGCACTACTACAATATTTCTGTGCATCTTTTCCTCCTTCATTTTTGTAGACCTTCAGGCCGTATGACAAGAGATCACTGCATCACTGATACAGCTTTGATTCAAGTATTCCTCTCCTGTTAGATTAAGATACAGGTCCCCAGATACCCTCACAAATTCTAATGTCACAGGTTAAAGAACAGACAAATTTACAATTCCCTTTTACTGAACCTTATGCACACTGTGATCCTCCAAGCATCACTTGTGATTTGAGGGTAGAGAAAAAATACACACAGAATGATTACTCACGAACATCATGATCTGAATTTGTAGCCAAGGAAGGTCACCCCAATATTTGGCACACATTTCTCAGGTAGGCAGAAGTATGTAAACCAAGGTCTTGCCCCTTTCCTAAGGCTATAGGAACTTTTCTGTCTGTCCAGATGCTTTGCTAAGTCAGAATGACACTGAAGACACTGTCTATCTATGAATGTCTCTGTGATTCTACCGAAATACAGAGGATGAAGAATAACTGCTCAACTCAGAACTAAATAAAGCAGTCTGAATCTCCTGAAGCTCTTTGAGCCAAAAACAATATGCACTTTACATTTATCCTTGATTTGCTTTCTTCTGTTCTCCACTTTATGTGAGCACAAAATGGACCTTCCCTTCAAAGAAGCGCTTTTTACAGGATGCAGCAAGGAACAGAGGAGGAGAATGGTACTGCAGGTTTGTCTTGAGGAAAAAGGTACATTCCCACTCTTTGTATATAAGAATAATACCTTATATTGCACCTTTTTGACAGAACTAAATATGTACTACATTTAATAGGCTAATTGTATGTCCCCATCTGAAGACTCAGCCACTTTTGTACTGGCAAAAGTAAACACTTTTACTAAATGATATAATTACTAAATGTAATTATAAACTGAATGAACATGATATAAATTAGACGTGAGTATATAATGGATACTATTTAGTGGCTTATTGCCTTAACTGCTAGGAGAGGCTATTATCAAGTCAGTGAATAAGACTGTTCTCTTTTTTGAAGCTCTGTTCCTACAACAGGTACTGGTTTTCCTATCCACATCTGACACACAGTATGCCGTATACACTCCAGATCGTCTCTTGATCCTATTTGTCTGCTTCTTCAGATGCACAATAAACCTAACTTTCCAGTCTCTGTTAAGAGCCTTTCCCTCATACATCTGGATCAATATCCTGTCCTGCTATCCAACCAAAGAAATGTGCTCCCAAAGATATCTCTGTTACAAATTTTGCAGGGTAGAACTCAGTTGACTCCACTAAGACAGAGTAATCATGCTAAAGACTTGAAAAACAAAGAGGCTCGGGCTACATCTGTGTCAGTGAAAAAAGAAAGGCCAAAGCCCATGCTTCGGCAAGAGTATATCTTATTTTTTAGCTACAATTATTTCATCTATATTTAATTAGAGCATCCTTTTGACATAAGACAAATAACACTCTCCCACACAATGTTCCAGTATGGTTCCAAGGACAGCACTGGTCAAGAATTATTCACGATACAGAGCATGGATGAGGCCATTTTGTTTGAGGGATGAGGGAGAAAAGATTTTTAAATATATGGGCATGACTTATGGCTTTCCCTCAGGGCCAAAGAAAATATGCTTACTCCCTTTCTCTATGATGCCCTCCAACGCTGATATGCAGTGCTCCAGACGTGGTGAAATGATACAGTACATGCAAACCACACACTGTATTTTCTCCCCAGCAAGATTACTTAACAGATAATACAGAACTGAATTATTTCTGATTATCTGACATACAATGAGGTGGAGAGGATGAGTCAGTTAATATGAAATGCATGCTAGTACTGTAACTGCTTAAATAATTCTCAAAATAATTGTAACAATTTTGTTAATGTAGGACACAAAAGCCTGATATTTGGCCTGTTCTAATTATTTAGACTTAGTGCCATGAATCAATAGAGATGGAATAGAAAATAATTTTTCTACATTCTCTCTGAAAAATATATTAACAGGTACTTGAAAGCTCTTGTAATTTTATTCTTGTCTGGAATGGAAAAGAAGATGATAATTGAAAATATTAGCAAACTCAAAAACAAACAAAAAAAACAAAAAAACTCTACTCATCTAAAGACACTAGTCTAAACATGATTACTTGGGACTTTTCCACAGATATACTGCTGGGTTTGCTTACACCAAATTAATTCTTACCAAGTCCTGCTTCACAATATACCTCTAATGAATGAAACAAGACAGCAAGTTATATTCTCATGCTCTGGTATAGTCCATTTAGTCCAAAATATTTCAATGGAATAAAATCTTTTTCAAGGCCTGTTGAAAGTCATGACAATTAAAGAAATAGAACTTCCCAAATTGATATGTATATATACACATATAACAGTAATTATTCAAAATTTTCACTTATTAACATTTTTACATTAAAATTGTATGAATTGAATATATACATATAGGACATATGTATCCTGGAAAAAAAAAATCCTCTAAGCAACCACGGTATTTTATAATTACACCTGTTCTAAGAAAAAATTCTGTAAATTCAGCAGGTATATGTAGAAATAATATAGTCTTCATTCTTTATAAGTTAGGAGTCTGAATAGCTTTATCATCTCACCTTCAATGTCGCAGTCTTGCAATGAAAGCCATATTTGATCTACCAGACCAACTCCTTTTACTTCACCATGAACTGGAATGGAATGCATTACCATTAATGCAATTTTCAGGGCTCAGTTTGCAACTGCCAATTCTACTCTATTGATATTTACTTTTCTTCACCAATTGCATTATTTTCCATCCTGCTCTGCAGGAGAGAAAGTCCACTGTGACTTTTCCAGATTCTTCTCCATTCACATTTTTCAATTAATGATCTACACCATGAGGAAGAGCTGCCACTATTAACTTACATATTTTATTTACTTGATTCTACTAAACACAACTTGTACATCTATTTCAGAACTATAGAAAACTGCATGGCTTTAAAATATTCACAGAACTGAATGCTGTACTCTGGGTGGGGTCTCACAAGAGCAGAGTAGAGGAAAGGAATCCCTAGACCTAATGGTCATCCTTCTAACTTAATGTATTGGTAGCTCCTTCTGAAATCAAGGGCCAATCCTTAGTCATACCTCATGGAGCACATTTTTGTTTATAGTTTTCTGCTAGGATGTTTGCTTTTGTTGAGGATCATATATAGACCAAAATTCAGTTCATTAATAGCCATGTCAGTAATTTACTATATTAATGAATCCTTAGAAGACCTACTAGGAAAACAGCTTGTTAGGTACCTGGCATTGCTCTTCACTCCCAGTACTGAAATTAACCTCTAACCAACTTGCACTGCCTGAAGTTTCTCCCAGCTGCCATCTGTTGTGACAAAGGCCTAGCATTCTTTCACTGCTCCTGTAATGCAGGAGGCGATGTAACGTTCTGCTCCTCTTCCAATCTGTGGTAGCTCAGCAAGAATCATCACAATGAATACAAACAAAAACTCCCAAATTAAACCAAGTTTTTAGATATTGGTTCTAAGCGCTCTTTGAAACATGAAACTATGACTTCCATGTGCAAAGGCAATGATCTATGGCCAGTAGATTTAGAAATGTTATGAATTCAATGTAGGGACAAATGTATAAAAACAAAAAACAAATAAAAGCAATCACCAGCCACATGGCAATTTTAACAATCTGCATTTTGCTTGAAAATTTGGGTTGTTATACATTTTTATATATCTATATCTATCTATATCTATCTATCTATCTATCTATCTACACAAATATCTTTCAACATACTTCACAAGTCTCCAAACAGCTTTCTCCTTGGAAATTATTTTAATTTTAAAGTACTGGTCCTTCACAAAAAAAAAAAAAAAAAAAAGTAATATAAGTACATTTTCTACTACCAGCGTGTTATGAAATCAATAGAGTATATATAAAACTGATTTGAACCACATTAAATACTACAATACTACATCAGTAAAAAGGGTAAAGGGAACTGCAGGCATTCTTTGACGGGTTAGGGACTACAATCCTCTGTAAATCTGGATCAATTGTGTTCAACAAGCATCATTAATTGTGTTCTTTGTGTTCTACAATACATCTGACCTTCAGGAGGCTGATTATGAAAATATTATTATAACTCTCTCTTGACTGTAGACCTTTAACCTGTTTTCAAATTTTCCTAAAAACCAGGAGAATGAAGAGATAATGCCACAAATTTTATTTGCTATTTTTCAGCCAACATAAAAATTACACTGGACTTTTTTAATCTTTTTAGACTATTAGTGGTATGTTCAGCTCATTCTAATTAAGTGAACAGATCTTAAATATCACTTTGAAACTACAAAATTTATATTTTTAAAAGTAAATAAATAATATTTAGGAATTTGATGTATATGTGAAAATTCAAGCATATAGTGACAGGACTTCTCACCTCTTTAAAAAGTATCAGATCTGTATTTTATTCAGAAAGCAAGTGCTTGGCTGAGGGAATACTCTAATGAGATTCCAAACAAAAGTATAATTAAAATATTCTTCTGTATTTGTGGGTGACTGCTTAGGATTATGTGGGTGACATGCTATTTTACCATGATAGAAGTTTCCATCCTCATCAGAGGATCATTGTGGCCTTTCCTGCAATTAAAATACTGAATCTCGGACTTTTCTTAGGATTTAGAATATCACTATAGGAAGTGAAGTTAGTTATTGAGAATACAAAAAGTTTATTTAATCTACACTGAAAACATTTCCAAAATAATGAACTATTCCTTTTATAATAAAAGGAATTTTTAAAATAATGAACTATACTTTTTTAAAAAAATCCACCTTTTTTTGTGCTTTTCCAGAAAACAAGCTTCCAAAATACAATACGACAGATCATAACCCATACAATGAAAATGTCCTTCACACAAAGAGGAACTATTTTCTCAAATTCAACTCAATTTTACAAACCCTGCAGAATCAAATATCTGAAACTGAATACCATTCCTTCACAGCTGAACGTACTTTCCCGGCCATAACACAACATAGAATTACTGGGGATGGGATGGGAGGGAAAAAGCTCCTTTCATGACTGCCAAACAGGGTGATCTGAAGCTATTCATCAGCACAGCTCCCCTGTACTCGGATAGAAGCTGAACCTTCTCCTGTAATAACATAGCTTTATGTCCGAGTCTGATGATGCTAAGAGTTATTGATGACAACCTCGATTAAACTAGTAATTAAATCCTCCAGAACACTCATATGGTTGGGAAAGGGTTATAAGAAGGACAGAGACTGAGTAGCAGTTGTGACCTTGAAAGGAAAGTATTGATTGGATTTTGCCTTGTGAAAGGACGGAGGGAAAACTGAAACCAACCATCCTGAATCATTAATGAACTCCCACTGCATGCTCCCAATTCCAATTTTTCCATGTCCAAGTGGATCTTTCTTCATGGTTCCTCAAAAACAGCATTTACAAACTATTCATTAAAAGAAACTTCAGATTAATTTTAGACAACATGATCTACATTTAGGCAACAACTGAAAAGATGTCCCGTTTTCTAAATTCTAGACTATGCGAGATATATAACATGTTATATATATTTTCATATGCACACATATAGGTCTGTGTTTATATACATTATGTTTATTACTGTAAGCAAGCAGAAAATGCCATTGATTGTCCATGCCTCCACTTAGGCTTTCATAGTACCCACTGACGCAGAACAGGATTTTTCACTCCCTGGATCTTTCCTAGGGTTGAAAGGCATTTAAGCACACTGCCTGTGAAGAATAACCATCTATCTCTAAAAAGAAATGTGTTTTTTCTTCTTCACAGAAAGGGATGATGAAAAGTGGTAATTTACATGGCAGGAAAATACCAAGAAACTGCCTCTTTATGTTGTTTAAGCACTAAAGCTATTTAGAAGAGAAAAACTGGAAGAAGAAAGCCAACAATTAGATGAGATGTTGGAAGGTGTACGATAATTTTCTCCAAATTTATCTTACATTTCACTACATCTTCATTCTGACTGAGTTTTCCTCCTCAATGATTTTTTTCATTTTTCTTGTAAAGTTTCCATTCCTACAAGTTATTTCAAACAGCTTTCAAATGGATATATCTAGTTACTGTGCTATTTGCTACAACACAGAGAAAGCTTGCTCTTTCCATCTTGGCTCATCTAACAATCCTACTGCAAATCACTCTCCAAATATTATTATTAATTATTAGTTATTCTTCAGAGAAGTAATAGCTTTTGTTATTAAGATTACAGAACTGCTCTTCTGATTTCAAAAAGCTTTTATTTAATAAAGCAACCATGTTAGGAGGCCGGATAAACATCAAGCCGAGATTTTTTTAAAAATGTGATCAGTGCAAGAGAACATGAAGAAAACTATCAAGCAGCCAAATGACCACTGACTGTAGGCATACTCTTGTAAAGATGCTGGTCAACGGACATAGGTACACCAACAAGGTGCAAGAATGAAATGACTTTTTTTATTTACCATCCACTGCATGAAGGAACAAATGCAACAACTTGTTTTTTCACTGCCACATGGCAACACACTGGCAGAAGTCCATATATATGCACAGAAGAGTCAATATGCACAGTCTGTATATGCACAGAAGAGTGCTCAGTGATGCCAAAGACAGTAAGCTCATAGATGTAAGGAATGGGTTATTTTTAAAGAGTCTTCTAGTTTCCATTTCAGCAGCCTATTTAATTACCAGCACTTCCACTTTCTAAAGATCAGAAAAAAGATCTTCCTTAAAAACCACTGCTTCAGAAACTGATACTTCCATTACCCTCTTTTTCAAGGACAAAACAGTAGCACTGCTAACGTTAGAGAATAACTACTAGCAGTATTAAAGTTAAGTTAGGTGACGTGTATGCAAACAGGACAGCAAAACCCACTGCAGTAAGTAATACTGATATTAGTGTTGTAAAATAAAATGGTAACCATAATCTTACTATAAATATATAGGCCATTAAAAATTTTGAATTGCAAAATTGCAGTCAAAGGGAGATTATACCTTCTGCTCTACATTCTGAAACACAACAGTTGTGCTCACCATGGAAATTTACATTTCTTTATGCTAGTGAAAAAACTTCCAAAAAAGAGTTAAAGGATTATCAGTAAAGAGCTAGCAAGTCGGGGAATAAAAAGGACATTTAATTAAGTAGGAGCGAAAGATGAGCTGCGGATTACAGTGACAGGCTACAAAAGAAAGAAAGTGGGAAAACCTACATTATAACAAAACTAGAAACCAATAGTCTTACTAAAATAATTGCAGTTTGACCAATAGTCTTACTAAAATAATTGCAGTAAATTTGGCAAGAATTTGGCAGTTGGCAGACCAGAAGCAAAATTATCCTCTTTCATTCATGCCACAAGCACCCTACCTGTAAAGTCATTCACAGTGCTTATCCTGCACCAACCTGGAGTTCCTGTTTCCACCAGTGGTGTTTCCATGCTCAAAAAGCAATAGGATGTAGAAACCAGGCTAGAACAAACAAGTTTGCTCTCACTGTTGGCCAAGCTATGCAGCACCCGTCATCACAACACAGTCTGCTGTTCTGATTTAAGAAGGCTAATCAAGTACTTCTATGCATACAATTACTTTCACACTGTGGGTGGAAGAGGTCTTATTTTTCTGCTTCAGTCATAATTTTAGTTGCACACACTGAACATCACCATATTCCTTGAAATA